CGTCAATCTATTTAGCATGTGTGGCTACATATGTCACTCGGCTTCGATCAATTAGAGAGTAGAGTAAATCGACTGTGTGACCGCTTGCAATTTGTGTTTTCCAATTGTTAATGGCATATAGAAGCATTCGAATTTTGTAGAATTTTGATTTTGCAAAACGGTTTGGGCGACGTTTCAACAATAAAGCAAAGGGGTTGCAGTCCAAAATGGTCGCTTTGGAGGGCGGAATGGTGTGGGCAGACACCGCAGGTACATCTAATCTCATGTAGCCGCGATTATAAATTGTTGCGTACTTCATTTCGGCCAGAATAATAACATGAGTAATTAATTTAATGTGCCAGGCGTAAAACCACAACAACGTGGCGGTCCTGGTGGGTTGAGAGGGCCTGATGGAAAAGGGGTCATGGGTAGGAGGAGTGGGAAGTGGGGCTAATAGGATGCAGAAATTTCGCAGTGGCTACTTGGGTGCAGCACATTGCGTAACAAATGAACTAATGTTTATTGGAATTGTCGCGTAAATTACAATGCATTGGCAATGCCGAAATCTAGGCAGGGCAGCTGCATTTAAAATCTGACAAATGGTTGAAATTATTTTGGTCGCGGTCGCTCTGGCGCTCCATGAATCCACCCCCAGAACTGGGTACTGGGTACTGGGTATTCATACCATTCGAAATGGAATGTATATTTAATTCGCCAACGGTTCGGGTACCTGTATGAACAGGAGCCTCCGTCTCGATTCAGAGTAAAAGTCGATCCCACTTGTTGGCTGCCGCTGCGTTTTTGTGCCCCCATTAATTTAATTATTTTTACTATTGTTCGTTCGAATGTTCCTTGAAATAAATTCGTCCCTAGTTTATGGTGCGTGTTTAAATGGATGAGTGCGGCAGAACATTAATTTCATTATTTGAATGTCGCATCCGGCAAGGGAAAATGTCTGGTTGGCTTATATATATAGGTTCTCGTAGCGTGGCTAATAAATACTTTTTCTATGGCTCCAACGAACAATTATTTTTTACCTATTTTATACACAACAAATTCAATTGATATGTGTGTTTGGGAATAGTTTTCTACTGATATATTCCGGAAAAGTTAAAAACCCATTCATTGGTTCCAACAAATTTTTCAATTATTTCAACAAGGAGAAATTTATTAATATTTTATGCTTCTTCAACATTTTTTACCTTTAGTTATTTTGTTTGTTTTCCTGAAACTAAGTTACATAATATTGTATATTGTTTATCTGACAGAATTTGGTATAGGCGTTCAGCTCTGAAATCATAAATATTTATATTATCTTGATAAAACAAAACCAAATAACATTTTTTCATGATTTCTGTATATAAGAGCTATAAGATGGGGTGGTCGTGACGCTTTGACCTATACAAACCTGTAATGGAAATGAAGCTTTCATCTAGAGAACTCCAAACCTTGAGTATATAGATACACATGACTAGATTGCCTCGGCTGTTAAAGCTGATCGAGAATATAAATAAACCTTGTATTTTATAGAGGCAAAATGTTGTAAATTATGAAATTTCTTTGTGCCATTTTCACTCCATAATCACGAATTAATTTAAGGCTCGTCAGAACTTCATGGCTTTTATCACATTTATCACTTTGTATTTATATGATCTCTGGTTTCGTTTCTTCAAGTTGTATCCTCTTATAGGGATACCTTGTGACCCAATGCTTTTCGCTTGTGCTTTATGATCGCTCCGACACCCATTCCCTTTGAGTTCTGAATCATGGCTCATGGCTTAAATAAGTTGCAAACACCACATACACCGTGTATTCAATAAAATGATTTGTGTGATACATAAAAAATACGCATACCAAAATGGCGTTCGGTATTTATGCACCAGGACATTGCAGCTGGTCTGCTCAAGGACCACTCTCCAATCCGGTCCTCCTGTGACCCTCCGGGAACGCCGGAGGGAATATATGTATAAGGTGGCATAGTATAGGGAGTCGCACCGACATTTTCCAACACTTTAGCGCAAACAATTTATGACTGCTTTTTTCAGCTGCAGGTATGCGCTTTTCCGGCCAAGCACTTAATTGATGTTGTGTCGCGTAAATTATAAACAAAACAAAAATTAAAGTGGACTCCATGGTGCTTCTTGGCGTTGGCTTTGCCGTTGGCGCTTCGGAAGATGCGGTGCCGGATGCGGAAATGCTTTCATTGCAAGTGGTGGTGAAGGGTCTCCCATAAAAAGCCAACGCACCAGCATCGGACAGCGTGGGAGGGACACACACACGGTTCCCCTCCCTCGCCAGCGGATGTCCTGTGCCATCGCTTCGCTTCCCTTCCTGAACAGGAGGCTAAGCAGGCCGCCGTGAGTGAGGTCAAGCACGAAAGTGGTGCTACCTCCAACCGGATGTCCATCTGACTTCTATAAGTCCCCTCTCGCGCTCTTCCTCTCTCTTTACCTAACAGCTCCTACCATATTTTTCCGCATAAATTTTCACCATTTTGCATTGCGAAAAGCCCTCGAAAGTGGTTCTGGAGGTGCTTTGTGATCGCGTGAGTTCCCATGTGTGTCTACACAATTCAAATAGTTGGAAAAGAACTGTAAAAGGTAAACATATATATTCTTGATCAATAGAAGCCGTATCTGTCTATCTGTTCATGGTGATAGTTCATAGTTTTGGAGCTATCTGAATAAAGTTGAATACTGACAGTCTTCCGGATCTTATGTAGCTGCAATAATTCTTGCTACTTTTTACGAAATTTTGAGTTTTAGGAAATTACATTTCGTATGACAAACCCGTATTAGATCAGGAGTTTGTTGTGTATTATAAATCAAGTTCAGATATGACGAAATTATATAAGTATGAAGTTATATTTTCCTATATATGTCTGATTCGGATAATTTAAAATAATCGCATTTAAAAACTGCTCATATTTTATGCATCGAAGCACTCTTTAAAACTTTGTTTATATAGTTACCTTGATACTTTTCATACTGATATTATCTAAAAACAAGAAAGGAAACTAACTTCGGCATACAATATAAATTTTATATATTTATGCTAAAAAACAATGAAGTAATACCTGTTTTCATTTCATTCACCTATAGATATTATATTTGCAGTTTAACATTCAAAGATTTGCATTTTTCCTCTACAACAAACGATCGTTTGTATGGCACCTATTCATATAGTCGTCCGATTTTCATGAAATTTGACACAAAATTTAAGACTAATATAAAATGGTTATAGCTCAAATTTGATGAAAATCTGTTGAAAACTGAAAAAGTTATAAATTTTAATTGTATTAATTTCTCGATCGTTCCTATGGGAGCTATATGATATAGTAGTCCGATTTACATAAAATTTTACACAAAATTGAAGAGGATAATAAAATGGCTATATTTTAAATTTCCAATTCTATTGAAAACTGAAAATATTAAAATTTTTTTTGTAAAAATTTTCCGATCATTCCTATGGCAGCTATATGATATAGTCATCCGAACCGGCCCGTTCCGACATATATACGAGTGAGAGCATATAGAAGGCTAACTACAAAGTTTCATTCAGATAGCTTCAAAACTGAGAGACTAGTTTGCGTAGAAACGGACAGACGGACGGACAGACGGGCATGGCTAGATCGACTCGGCTGTTGATCCTGATCAAGAATATATATACTTTATATGGTCGGAGGTGTCTCCTTCACTGCGTTTCAAACTTCTACCTGAAATTATAATACCCTGCAAGGGTTAATAATTAGCTTTCTAAAACTACATAGAACTAGAGACTTGGAAGATAATTGTTCAATTTATTCACCAGTCATCTTGTCCAGTAGAGTTCACAAATTAATAAACTGATATTACCCACAAGTGCAGCTTTCGATTCGTTTAACTTCAAAACCCACTTTGTATGTATATATACCTTTCCAGATCTGAAAAAACGATTAAATTTAACTGGGCGATGAGTTAAACTCGGAAATCAGAAATTATATGCAGTGCAGAGGACGACGACTGCCAGTGGTGGACAGACATAAAACAATGGGGGAAGGATGCGGGTAGATCGACACAGAAGGTGGCCGGCCAGGAGAAGGCTCTTGGCGAGGGGGATGGGAAAGGCGAGTGGAAGTGGAGCCGGATCCGTGTAAGGACATTTAACTGCTGGCTGCGACTACTCAAAATCTGTGCGTCTGCACGCATTACATACGAAATACGAGACTCGTTGGGCAATTGCAGTTCATTGTTATTTAATATGTCGCCCAGTCAGGGGCATCGGGGCCGGAGCGACAACGAGAACACGGGTGGGAAATTATACTTTATGTGGCCAGGACACTGAATTGCAGGATACGGAGCCAAACAGGAGCAGACGGCATGACACTGATTGCGATATAAACGATTGTCAACGTATCCAAGTGGATTATTACCTCATGCCAATTATCATATCAACGATACACAGGCGCAGGACTCGGAAAATGGCCACATACTCACACTGGCGCACACTCGAAATCGCAGGACAAGCCAGGACATGCCAGGACATGCCACATTGGCTGACGAGTGGCGGGCGGAAGGGGGTCAAGGTAATGAACCAGGCCCGGCACCCAACACACAACACACCCAAAAGCACCCACACACTTGACGAGGCGTTGATGGTGCCGGCATCTGGTAGTTCGTCTCCCCGCCACTCCCAGTGTCCTAGCCCAGCCTCCCTTCGGTCCTTGCCAAATTGCATGTACAATTTTAAATGGATTTTGAGTGTTTATGACAATTCGACGAGCTGACTGGCCAGTCCGCTGTTGGCCACTGATAATACGGCATTTAAATGATGAAGAGCTGCTCCCACCTGGCCACTCCCCAAACCACATCTCGGAGCCAAGCCAATGCAATTTGCAAAATTAAGCCCAGACAGAGGATTTAAAGTGTTGTATTTATAAATAAGGTCCTTAAATAAGTAATTTTACTTCCTTTTCTATTAGTTTAATTTTATTCGAGATGTAGAACGTAGGAACACTTTCTAGAAACTTCCATCTCTAAAAAATCCTTAAAAGTAAAGTCTGTACAGAGGCTTTTAGCTTATATATAATTTTAGTTATATATAATTTGGCTACGAATAATGGTACAAGTAAGGTTGAAGACTGGAATATCCTTAGGGGTCTTAAAAGGTTAAAATTCGAAAAATTAAATTCAAAAAGAAAGCACTTCCATTGCTTTGTTTCTCTACTCAAATTCATTAGTCTTTATTAAGGAATAATACAAAGTATCGGTAAGCTTTTCCCATTCAAGTCTAGCATGCTCAATTATGGCACATGGATGCGTAGAGTCTATATATGGATGGAAAAATGCGGAAAAGAGCAATACTTTCTGAAGCCACAGAAGACTGTGTGCACCAAGGTATTTGAGCAGAGAATGCTCAAATCTACCGAAAGTCCTCGACCCAAACATTTTCTGAGATCCAAGAGGTTCTACGGCTACACCTTTGTGATTGGCAGTCTCTTCGGCGCCACCATATGGGCTGTGTACGAGCTGGGAAAGCCAGTAGTGGACCATCGTGGTCCCCTCGATGATGAGTTTAGTGAGCTGCCCTGGGTTCGGCAGTACCTGATGAGGATGTGGCACTCGTTGCAGTATTACACGAAAATGCTGGAGTCACCCGTGACAACGAAGTTGCTGCCGGATATCTTGCCGCCTCCCTACATACAGCCTCCGTATACGTTGGTGCTGGAGATAAGGGATGTGCTGGTTCACCCGGACTGGACATATAAGACTGGTTGGCGGTTTAAGAAGCGTCCGGGCGTTGACTACTTCCTGCAACAGTGCAGCAAGAACTTTGAGATTGTGATTTACACTTCAGAGCAGGGCATGACCGCCTTTCCCCTCATAGATGCCTTGGATCCCTATGGCTACACCACTTACCGTTTGGTCCGTGGGGCAACAAAATTTGTGGAGCGGCAGCATATCAAGGACCTAGACTATCTTAATCGGGACTTGAGTCATGTCATTGTGGTGGACTGCGATCGAAAGGCGACTCCCCTGCATCAGGACAACGTGTTCGTGATGCCCAAATGGCAGGGAAACGATGACGATGTGCAGCTCTTCGACCTGACAGCTTTCCTTCAACTGGTGGCTGAGCACCAGGTGCCCGATGTGCGAGAAGTACTCCATTATTACAGTCAGTTTGAGGATCCCATTGAGCAGTTCAAGGAGAACCAACGGAGGTTGCAGGAAGAAAACCAGGAGAGCGTTCCGTCGACTTCGAGCAATCCACGAAAATGGTCATTCGCTTTGATGGGACGATCCTGGCGAGGCTCTTCGAAATAGGAACAACCTTTTCCCGGGTTCTTTACTTCCGGCCAAATATACTTTACATCAACAAAGAGAGGAATTAGAGACTATAACTAAAACGCTTATTTTACAATCAGATCAGGCGACAATTTTTAAATAACATTTTTAACAAAGTAATAAGTTAAATAAAATTCTGTGGGTCTTATTTTATTAGGTTCGAATGAGGATATCCATTTTGCAAGCCTAATAAGTTTATAACAAAAGTTATATGAAAATCTAGTGCTTTATATCATTATTTATTTCAAAGAACGTTAGAATAATAAAGACGATCAAAAATAGTATTAGTCACATTGTGCTAGATAAAGCTCGATATCTTTTTCGCGATTTCAAATATATTTTCACGAAAATATAAAATTCAAAATAATCAAGCGCTTGGAAAGAATATGTACCATTTTCACACCGCAGGTCCTGTCATCGTATTAACGGATTTTCGCAAGTGGTTTTTTCCCGATTCAATTGTACGCAATCCACCAGAACTCGGGGCAGGTGGGAAAAACCACTTTCTTTTCGGGGTCTCTGGGGCGTCGCATGCAAATCTACTTTATGCCTTGGAACTGGGGAAAAGTAGAAAGTTATGCAAGCAGTCCTGGATAGCGTGTGCCCGGCGCTTAAATCGCCGCTGAAAACCGCATACGTTACGGGAATTGCTGGGGAGGCTGGCCGAAGATTTCCGGGGAGGAGCACATGCGAATTAAATTTTTAACAGGCAAGGGTCTCAGCGCCTTCCTTGGATTCAGTCTTGACATTTTGCGACGAGCGGGCCTGATGGAATCGCGGGTCGACCTCCGGCTTACCTCGGTTGTTGAAAAACTAATTTTGATTTTAATTAAATATTTATGACGCCAGGAGGGAGGGCCGCAGCGGCAGCATTTTATAGGGAAGCGGAAAGAGGAAATTCTCTAATAAAATAAGCAAATATCTGGCGAATAACTTCTGCTTATCAGTCAGATGGGCCAGGCGGCGGTGAGAAAATTAGAGAATTATCCCCAGAGACTCGCAGACTCAGGTTGCGTGCCTAATTCGAGAACGGAACCCATTCCTGCTGCCCCTTCCTCCGGGTCCACTATGACCTTACCTACGGCCCTCACGGATGGGGGGTTGGGAGTGCTTCTGGCCTGGCCACTGGCTCGTTTATTCGATCAAAAGTTACGAGCTCATCTTAGATTGGACATTAAATGAACACTAAAATATTTTCCATCTGCACGCAGGGCCCGAAAAGGACGAGAGCAGGGTTGGAACAAGCGAAATAAATGTCATGAAAGAACTCATTGACAGGCACATAAGGACACTGGTTTTATGGTCCACAGATATGACCAAAATATATGATTACCATGTGTCCGGCAGCATGCAAGCTCGTAAATAGGCATTTTCCCTGCTTTAGTTTTCATGGACACATCATCTCCCCATCTCCCTGCCGGACAACCCGGCTCAGGACATCTCCGGTGGCGACTATTTCCTCTTCCAACCTTGCCCTTTTATTTGTGCCCCTCATCCATGTTTGTCTTTTTTTTAACCTTCGCTCGCTGGTTATTTAGCAAGTGATCCAGGTGGGACTGCCAAAGATAGTCACAGCCCGAGGCTCAGTCGTAAAAATCAAAATAAAATTAAACTTATGCGTGATGTTTGGGTTACCGTTCTCATTGGTTTTCTCTCGACCATTCTGTATGGCATTCTCGGGGTCACTCGTACACAACACCAATGAAAAGTTTTGCATTTAAATAGAATTCAGCAGGTTGACTGCAATTGGGATGGGTTCTATTATATCCCCGTTTAGCATTTTATAATTTCAATAAGAAGTGAGTAGATATCTCCGAAAACAATCCGAATCGAAAACAAGCCTCATCTAATCTCATATTATATCATTCGTCAAAAGTCATAAATGTAATGCTTAAAAGTAATAATTCGACACGGAATTAAACAAACTTTTATTTTAATGAATAATATCTTCTAACGTCACCACAAACCATGATAAAATGTACAACACGCAGATAATACAAAATAGTAAGTAAAATAAAAAATAAACACACTATAACTTGCTTAGCTACTGATAACTTTTTTGAAGAACATAAATCATCGCGATAATTATTTGGTGATAGATGCTTTACGCCCAATGATAACTTCCATGATTTTAATAACCAATCATAAATTAATCTTGCCGCTTTTTCATACGATGAAGGCAAACGAAACTATTAATTAAAGATGCAAATAAGTATTGAAAGCTTCAAGATAAACAGAATGACCAGGTATAGTCAAGAAATCTCTCTTACATATACATAAAATGATTTAAATCAAAGGCGCATCTATCATCTATTGTGGATCAGTCTACAAAATAAATATTACATATTTGTTACTAAAAATGGTTACTTAGCCAGACAACTAAAAGCTATTACAACAATAATATAATTACTACCTTGACATTTCCCCGTTACCCACATACACTGCAGGGAATCTGCTATGCCCGTAAAATCTACGATTACAGGGTATGTGACGTGCTCTATATTATTCGATTTATGGAAACCAGATTGAGTCTGACATTTGCTTGCAAATTAGGCAATGAAATCGTTGCAATGCCGGACAACGGTTACTCTATCGCGTGTCAAGGATCTACTAAATGGCTTCGATGCCTTCAACTTCACCAGGACACGGCCAGTGGGAGCTGTGAATTATGCCCCCAGCTGGTCCCGAGCCTCTTCATTTTGGTATAAATTCAACATTTATGTAGTCGCAGCCCTGAGTGTATGCTGATTTCATCTCATCTCGTTCAGGCGTTACGTGAGCTGATTACGTTAGTCACGCGCGATTGCAAAGGGGCGCAATGGTGGTCGGTGGGAGAGTATTTTGGCCATAATGAACGGTGCTGCCAACCAGAAGATTCCAAACAAAATGGCTAGAAAAAAAATTCACAGTTTCATAGTGTTACTTTTCTCAATAAATTTTACAATTGAATTTAACAAAATAATTTGAATAAGAATGTTTTTATTTATATAATTTTTGTTTACAAAATGGAACGTAAGCTAAGAATATTTTTAAGCTATCCACAGTAGTAAAAATATATTGGAAGACTGACAAAAATTAGCTTTAAAGGATCATTTAAACTATAGTAATTTTAAAAGACTCATACATTTCTTACAATACATTAAAAAACAAACTTAAATTACAAATACGCATTGGAGCCCTAAAATCAAAACTGTGGTCAATTTCTGGTTATAAAACTAATTAAATATTAATTTCTAAAATTAGGACATAAATATTCATTCATTTCATTAACCGACTAATAGTTTTTAATCCTTTCAATCACTTTAAATTTTGAAACATTTAACTTATTTTTAGAATTAAGAAATCTAAAGAGCATTTGAAATACATATTTTACCATGAAATCATGAATTTGGTCACAAGAGTTTAGAGATTTCTAACACTTTTATTACGGAAAGCAAAGGAAAAACAAATTTGCTCCATTTCAAAGTAAGTTTTTCCCGCCAAAAATGATGTTTGGGCTTCGAAAACATGACAGCACTAGTCACAATGGCGGCGGCCCTTCATCGACTATTGACTCCGGCTCATTTCGGTCCGGATTCAGTTGCTTAGCAGGCAAGTGAAACTGTGGCAAGTGGCGACTTCTTGCCGGATTTTATGACTCTGGCGAGGATGACGGGCAGTGGATGGCAGATGGCAATGGGAGCAGTGTTGGGTCTATGAGTTCCACTATATGATTTTGCATTATTTGTCCATTCCCAGCCTTTGTGGTTCCCCGCTCCGTTTTCTTCCGCTGGCTGCCATAAAAAGTCAATGCATGTGAAATTTTTCGTGACACGCTCAAACTAGTCCCCGAAAATTCAGGATTCGCTTTTTCGACCATTTCCAGTTGGTTATTTGTTTATTCATCGAATGGGGCGAGTCGTAAAAATTATGTTGATGACTCATCAGTAAAGGGCATTTATTTTATTGCCGGTCGCCCTTTGTCACCTTTGTGGCTGTGAGCACATCTTCAATTATGACCCCAGTTGATTCCAATTCCACTCGATGCCAAGACTTTGAATGAGTTTCGATTTGTATTATTAATGATTTCGTAGCCCTTTTCAAGATGCAACTAGCATTATTCACTTGACCTTCTATTTTTCCAAGTATAGCGTAAGTTTTTGGTGTCATGGCTTGCAGATGTAAGCAAAAGTTTAAATTTAAGAAAATAGCAAGAAATACACCATGTACTGGTAATTAATCGTTATGGTAAATACTTAAACAACTTAATTACACTCTTCTTAGTTGTACGAATTGCATGTAGTTTACATTTTATGTAGTCTTCATTTATTAAGCAATTTTAATAAAGTTTTTGATTTAGATAAATTGAATTGAGTTAAATATTACATTTATATTTAAAAGAACAAGGCATCGTCAAATAAAACAAGTTGGATCTTTAAGAAGAAAAACTATAATGCAGATTTGTTTTCGTTAAATGGTTTTTGAGTAAATAAAAATGTGTTTGAAACCCTTACATTTTATATAAAACGTAGATCAAATAATGGTTGAGTTATTGTTTTTCTTTATCTATCTTATTTATGTATCTATACAAATTCTTTAAGCACTAATCTGTTTTGTAAGTACTTTTATTAATGTCATTATCCACTTAAACGCTACCAAACTTGACATCCTTGAAGATTGAATTCAAAGGAGCTGTAAAGAAATTCAAATGAATAAAAAAAAATAATATTTAATATATATAAGATTACACACCCATTGCTGTTGTGTCAATTGACCCTTGAAAATTGTGCAACTCGTAAAGATCGAGTTCTGGGGCTGTCTCCGCCTCCCTGACGGGATCAGTTGAAGGCGCCTCAGTGGGCGGAGCAACCTCTTCCCAATCCTCCGCCTCCACTCGAGAGCGGCTCACCACAGCACTCTTCTTGTACTTCCGTCGCATATACTGTTCCAGTTCGAACTCCTCCGAGTTGGGTGCCCGATCCGTAAATGACCTTTTGGAGAATGACGTCGACATGGGCTCGTGCAGGTGTTTGGTGGGTGCAGGGGCACAGGGCGAAGTGATAACCTGGGTCCGCTGCTCTTGAGAACTTTCACCATGCTTCCTTGGTTTGTCGTCGATCTCCTGAATCTGCTGCTCTAAGAGTTGGATTTGGGCCACGTCGTTCAATTCAATTGCCCTATCCCGCTCCATTAACAGATGGATCTTTCTGCAAGCGGCCCTCATCAGCTTTTGCCCCGACTTCACCTTGGTTTGGATGAGCTGTTCCACGTCACCCTCGGTGAAGGAGTACTCGTATGCCCGTTCCACGTCCAACTTCTTCTGGTTAATGTCGGCGAGAAGGGGCAAGGACTGCATGTCCCTCTGACATACTGCCACCCACAGAGAGAACTCGTGTTTGGTAATACTCTGGTTGGAGACCACGTCCATCAGGGAGTACTGCTCCTGGGCGCCGAATCTCAAGCGCAGGACTTGTTTAGTCCGTTTCCTGCCCAGTGCGTACTCCTCATTCCCTTCCCGCAGACCCAGAATCTGGTATATGCGATTGCTGCAGTCCGCGTGGACACTCACATTGACGCGCACAAAGCAACCCACAACGGTCTGCTCAAAGTTGGGCCTATCCAGGAAGCTCTCCAGCTGGTTCCGAGTTAAGATGGCTCGACTCAACTGCTCCGCGGTGGTCACTTGGGTCAGGTCCTTGGCTGCCGGCTGAACTGGGGTACTCTCCTCACTGCTACTGCTGCTGCTGCTGCCGCTGCTGGATGAATCGTCCGAGTAGATGTCTGCGGCTTTCAATTTAACCTTTTTCATTTGCTTGGACTGCGAGTCCTCTCTGGCCCCCGCCTTCACTGCTCCCTTCTCAGAGCCCTCGTCCTTGCCCAGCTTGTTGTTCCGCGCTGAAATCAATCGCTCGAATGCATTCGCCCGCTTGTTGCCCGCTCGCTGATGGTCCAAGTTCTGCCGTCTCGTCTGTGATCGCTCCTTGATTTCCGAATTCTCCACAGGGGCCTGGGCGACGCGGTCCTTTTCGAGCTGCCATTGGATGTCAAACTTTCGTCGGAGGTCCTCGCGGCGCAAGGAGCGCTGATACAGCTCCTGCTCGCGCTCCAATTCGTTGAGGTGCAGCAACCGCGCCCGATCATCTGCATCGCCCATGAGCTCCTCATCGTAGCCATCATTGAACTCCTTTAAGAAGGACTCATTGCCACTCCGCTCCATTATTTCGCCATCTTCCAAATCTTTGGTCGTATGACAATTTCGGACTACTTTTAAGCCGGAATTCATTTTCTAAGCTTGGGAGGTATTAAACATATATATAATAAGTTCTGCACATTATTATTGTTAGGCTATAGGATAAAGTTATCTTGTTTTACGAATATTATACCTACTGTAATACCAGAATCTAATGAAACAACATATTAAAAAAGGATGATAATATATACAAGTTTACATTAGTTACTGTTAATAAGAAGATCCCGATGAAATAATCAAATTTATGTATTTATGTCGATCTAAAAAAAATATGAAAGGGCTCTACTCTTATGTGAATGTTATACACTTGTGTATAGGTTTAGAAGAAAAGTTTCCAATAACTGCAACGGTTTTCCACACTTCGACTTACCAAATTTAGGGGAATCTGTTTTTTTCGATATATTTACCAAGACTTACAGATTTTGGAAATACAATTTTTACGCACTTTTATCGACAGAATTGAAATAAATATTTTAAGTTGTATTTACCTGGAGATGTGCTCAGTAGCTCTTCCAGAATATGAATAAATATTGTCTCCATGTTGAACGTATTCAGAGAAATTTCCAAATTTTCTTTTTTCATAAATAACACTAGAGGCGGGGCATACTTGTTAAGAAATAAAAAGCCCAGAAAAAGTAAATATGTGACTTATTAGGCAACAAATTAAAATCTATTTTGTAAGTCCATAGTTTTAATCTAGAACTAAAGTCAATTATCTTAACCTTTGCAGTTCGGTAGAAACTAATGTTGGATTCTATTTAAAGACGGTTGAGTAGAATATACAACAATAAATATCTACATTGACTACAATTAAGTATAAATATCGTTTAGATGGCAATATATGGATCCCCATTATGATTCTGTTATGTCGAAACTATAGGAAAGTTGGTCTTTCCTAGCCATAATTCATTTGTTGCTTAAGCTCGACTACTAGGTGTTCGTTTGCTTCAGTTTCAATGCCATCAAAATCAGAGCCATAAGCCCAGCCCGCACAAAATGAAAGCAGCAACAGTAGATGGAGGTGTCCTGCCGGAGCAGGAGTACAGGACTACAGGAGTACAGGAGTACAGGAGTGGAAACTGTGGCTGACCACAATTTCACGTTTGCCTAGCCGTGAACACGTTCAACATGAACGGCGATTAGTTGCATTTGTTTATGAGTATGGATTTCGGATTTGTCTCCGGCTGTGCCAGGTCGCTCCACCGACCACCATTTGCCACTACGTCGTAATAGTCGAGCCAGCGGTAACTTATTGCATCGTGGCGTGCGAGTGCCACCGAGTGCTCCGAATGGGGTGGCTGCCCTCTTGCACATCAGACAATTGGATGGTTCCAGTTCGGAATGTGTTTCGAGAAGAAAATATCGAAAAAAATAAAATATCGGAATAAAATATCAGACTAAATCTTTACTTTGTTTTGTGCTGTTAGTCTCCTTTTAAAAATAACTACATCCTTTATCATTTTAAGCTAAAACAAAGACCTGATAGTTAGTTAATTAAATTGGGTTGTAAAATCAGGATAATTTGAGGTATTAATATTTGACATTCTGTAGCTAAAACCAACTCCGTGCTAGAGAGTCCTTTGGCAGGTTTGGCAAGGGCATTTAGTGCCATCTCTAGTTTCAGGTGTGGGGCGCTCTCTCGTCCTCGATATGGATGTGATTTCTTTTTGCTTTGCCAGTATATCCGCATTGTAAAGTAGACATTATGTTGATGTCCGGCTGAGATCCTGGTCAGCTCAGGTCCTGGTCCTTTGGGCTCAGCTCATATCCCACTTGGGACATCTGCCGACGGTGACGATAATATCCCTGAAATTATTTTCAGTCGGTCTTACATTGGTTGACCGTCCTGGACTTGGACTTTGTTTTATTGTTATTGTTTCGCTGCCTTTGCCATTGTTGGTGGCAACTTCGTGACTCTCCCGTGACTGTGCCCCAGCCCGTGCCTCTGCCGCATCCAATCCCAGCCAGGACACATTAGTGGAAGATGGACATTTTGTAGCTGTGGGTCACTGGCTAAAGTTATTACATGTTATATCTCGCTTTTTCCAAAAGCTGTGCCACTTGCAATTATACACTTACTCTGTACCATTGTTTTCGGTGGGGTTGAACCTTCCTCAGTGTGTGTGTGTGTGTGTGTGTGATTTTCGCATATTGGTGCTGCAAACTAATGGCTTCACTAACGATTGTAACCGTTGTCCTTAATGGCATCCTTTTGGGCATCACGCGCATCCCGTTTAGTCGATTTGTTTCGCCTGTTCCACATCCCCCATCTGCGGTCCATTGGTCCAGGGTTTAGTATCTATGATGGAATGAAGAGATAACTTTGCCGCCGTCGCTGCCTTCGTATTTTCTTGGGTCAGTGCAGTCGGGTAATTAGAGGGGGCTGTAAAATGGGTTTGCTACTTTGGAAAATAAATATTTTACACAGAGAATAGAATCAAAACAATGTACCTCGGAATTAAATTCTCTTGGCACTCAACTGACACTAGAAGATCTCTTTAACCACCGTAAATCACATTTTTGTAGAAGTATTTTTAAGTTTTACTACATAATTAAAGATGTTAAACATGCGTACTTATGTGCTTTAACCAACTTTTATGCGGATAAAGCTCGCAGATTTTTTTTCAACCCCTTTTTTCTACCAGCTTGTCCACACATCTTGACCAAGCTCGTTTGCGGCTAAAATAAAAATCGTACAAATTTACTGTTAATAGAAAAAGGGATCGAGCAGATGAAGCACGCACATTAGCCCCTTCTCCACCCACCCCTGGCAGACCAGTGACGATTCCAGGGATTTGGGTGGCGGGACTGGTGACGATGCCTATCTGGTCATTGCAGGAACCCTGTGGGCAGTCGTAAACAGCTCGAGTCATGCGATATCGAAAAATAATCTCACAACGGAAATGGCATATTTAAAAGGCCAAAGGATTGGTGAGATTTAACTTATAAAACCGTCGGGGCGAGTCCAATGCCCAGGAGGAGTTCCAGCATGTGATAGTGGCGAAATCTCATCTCCTGTCTCCCCTTTACTGCTCCCCCAGCGATGGGGACTGTAGCGTCTTCGAGCACTTTTCGGGGATTTTTAGTGTTTATTGCCTTAGATTAGTTTGTTTATTGTAATCCTCGTTATAAATTAAGCAAAACTTGCGCTTAAAAACTCATTGTTACCATGGGCCAGAAAGGGGTGCGCCCCAACCCCTTGGCCAGGCAGCATGGATAGCATCTTGGGCCAAATTAATTTCCAGCATATTTTCCCGGAGGCGTCGGGCGAACTTAGTGCAGATAAATGCTGCAAATGGTTTACGACCACAGCCGATAAATGCTGCAGTTGAACCCGTACACTCAAAACGAAGTTGACCATTCATTTCAGGGAAAGTTTCTGCAAAAAGAGACTATTTTTATTTAATATTGAAAGCGCTTTTATTGTTATTAAATTTATGTGTGAGCAAACAACGGTCAAAATAATAATACATTTTGATTTGATAAAATGTCTGGATCTGTCCGAAAAATATATTAATAATAAATAATTTAATTCTGCTCTGATTGCTTATTGCTATTAGACACCTAAGTGTGTTCTAAGGTGTAAATACACAAGTTTCTTTCCTCTCCTAAAGGTCTTCTAATGAGTCAATATTAGCTCTCAAATGTACTCGATAGACAAGAATATTTAACTTGTCCGAAACTTTATCTGATTGGAAAATTATGGCAGTGATGGTTTAAGCTAAACTTTAAGAACTTGAAAACTAGGGAATCAAGCTATTTTGGTTTTTAAAACAAGCTAGCCTTGAATATTGGGGGAATATTTTCAATATAAGATTATGTGGCACTCTTATTTATAAGAAACAACTTTCTGAAATATAAACAAATATATTTATAAAGTTAGGGTAGATATATATGAATTGTTCTCGGAAATGATGATCAGATGCAGGATGACACTTATACTTAAACATATTTAGATCTTAATCGTATACAATATAAATCTGTCATGTTAAAACATTAAACTGGGTTATTTTTGTTTTTAAAACTAGCTAGCCTTGAATATTCGGGATATATTTTCAATAAAAATGTATCCCTTATTTATAAGTTACAACTTTCTAAAATATAAACAAATATATTGTGGAAGGACTCGTCAAATCCGAATTTTCCTCTTCTCCAGTTTTACAGGATCTTTACATCCGCTTAACATACGTACGATTAACATACATAGGTTTAACATACAAAGGATTAACATAACAGCATGAGTTTATGGAAAATATCTACAAATGTGTTGTTTATATCAGTTTTTGGTTTTAAATTTTCAAAAATGTAACAAACAATATACAGTAGTTTCTGTAGAATGAATAAATGCTTCAATAAATAGTACACTTATGTGCACTAATATTATACATATATGTTATCCCCTCTGGCACTGAACTACAAAAATATGCAAACAGACTTTGCTTTTGCCAATCCAAACCAAATAGTATGCAAATTCCAGAAAAAATCATTCCTATCAAGTCTCACATGGCGACTTACAAAATGAGGGGAGCTAGGGCTAGTATATAAAAGTTTCTTTAAATATACAAATTTCCGGATCCGCAACAAACTCATATTTCGTAATATGCCGAAATCTATATGAATAGACGCAGCTGCTGTGCTGTCCTCATTCAATTCGATCCGCCTGGCAAAGATGAGTTTCCATATTGTTTTCAGCTGTGGCGGTAGTTCAATAAGGAAAAGGGAAACCTAATAATCCGAAACCCACCACAGGTGACAGGGTTTGGGGCTGGAAAATGTATCCCAGCATAAGCAATTTCAGGTGATGTTTGCACAGCGCTAGCCGCTTTTCCGTGAAATGACAAAACTCCATTAAGAATTACGTTACGATTACGTTTCGTTTTCCGCTTTTATTACAATCCCAATTCCTTTCTCGCTTTGTTTGGTATTCTGGTGGGGTCTTCCATTCGAGGAATGGGAGTTAGCGTGCTTCTAATTGCATTTTAAAATTGCGACACCATAAAATGTGCTTACCGTATAAATAATTATAACGGCATTTGTCGCAACAAACACCGGGGCCCGACTGAAACTACTCCTCCATGGCCTCCATGGCCTCCATGGCCCGACCCCCTATCCGGATCCGAATCCGGGTAAAGAGCCAAAGCCAGAGTTGCAATGATTTCCAGTGTCAGGACGAGAGATGCAAACGGGGCCGGGCACTGAGGATGATATTGTTCCGAGGACACAGCCACGCCGTCAGTTGTTGTCGCATCTCCTGGATATTGCATAGCTGCCGTACGTATGTACGTACATACGTAGCACTCCCATCCGAATTTTCATTTGCCAGTCAGCTCCATTTCCATGTGGCACAATAACAACTACAACTACAACTACGACCACGACGACGTCAAGCGATTAACGTGAGCTGCATATTTTCAGCTAATTTTCTAATTAAAATGGTATTTATGCATTTTTCAGCTTCTAATATTAAACATTCACCGCTAAGGAGATAGAAACCAGGCAAGTGCAAAATAACACCGCCATGCAGAATTTAAATTTGAAGGTTTGCAGTGATGGGAGCATCTTTTATCAAATATTATTTTGTTGAGCTACTTTTCAACAAATATAAACCCAGTAAATTAATCTCTTTTCTGGGTTTTCTATTCTGTTCTCCGTATTACATGAAATTAAGTTTTTAATTAAATCAATTTTCATTTCTAAAAATGTGTAAATGACAATTAATATTTGCAAATAAATCGGAATGAAAATTAAAGAAATTAGAGTAGCTAAGTTCCCACGAAACATGTAGATATTTTTTGAATTCACTTTTAAAATCAAATTTCCCTAAAACTAAAAGTTAAAGTCGATTGTGGGTAAAACATTAATATTTAATCATTATAAATATTTAAATAAAAATTAAAACTTTATTACACCAGTTTGATATATATTTTTTTGTTATGTTGGACATAAAGTATTAACAATTTGTTGTCTAATATGGCGAAGCTTAGTCTGTCTTTTAGAACGAGTGCACGTTTTCATATTAAATTTGTAGCATTAGAGGCTTATACTAAAAGTTTTCTCAAATTTTTTAAACGTTCTTACTAAAGCCATAACACAAGCTTAATTAAAATGAAAGCGAAAATTAATCTTGATTTTCTTTTTATTTAGAACAAAGTATTCACTAACCAATAGTAACTAATTTATTGCTTAAAAAAATACATAATGTAATTATTTAAGCTGCAGGGCAACATTGAAATATGTCACTGTCTCTCCAAGTTGTCACGATAAAAACAAATTTATTAACCTCAACACTGACAATATTTTCCCAAATTATAGAAAATGAATTTGATTGTCTATTTGTCTGAATCAAATGCCAGGAACCACTTTTGTTATATATAGCTGTTCGAAAAGAAACCCCTATATTTTACCATTGTTTGGCTACAAACAGTTTATCTAGTTTTGTTTAAGCAGTAAATAAAAACTAATTCAATTATTTGTAATATTAATCGTCATTTCGTATCAAATTTCACATCGCTAGGAGATAATGATTTAAAGGGCATATGGACATGACTAAATCGACCCGTCTGGTGATGCTGGTCGTGAGAGTGTATACATATGGTCTAACATGCCTCTTTCTGCCCGTTACAAAATGTATACACATATGTATATTTTTGCTTATAACTAAGTCTCCTTAAATTCGTTCAAAAATATTTATAATCTACATGAAATTTCTGTCATGTTATGAAGCTCTAATAAATTTAGAAATTCTTTTAAGTTGGATCTTTTTCAAAATTTTCGTTTCCCAAAAAGTTTACCTATTGTTATGGAAATGACATCTCTGGCCCCTATTCTTTTGGCGTGCTTCGTGCACTTGGCGCTGCACACAACGTTTTTCATCCATCTAGATCCAGAAATCTTTTCGAATACACCCATTATAGGAAGTCAGTTGTTCTATCTTTCGGTGTTGGACCTGATGTGCCACTGCCAGTTGATACCAGGGCACTGTATCTTTTTGCCTTCGTGGGCCAGGATCGTTCTGGAGACGATCGCTGTGTTTCTCATCAGCGAAATGACCATGGCCGTGGTATGGCTCACCACGGAGATATATCTCCGTGAGCTGATTACTGGGGTCATTATTGCATCGGGACTCGCCACAAGCTTCCCCTCTGAGAGGCTTATCCTGGAAATTATTACCGTAGTACTCAGTATTTTGTTTTCGGTGATAGTGGCAGCGTTCACAAATCAACCGTCCACCGCGCAAAAACTTGGTCGTAAGATCGGAAGCCTGCCAAGTGGCTTTATTCGCCAACAAGGATCTCTATATTAATGGTACGGATAAATTTATTGCATCGGAGTAATGGGATAATATCACCATTTTGTAAACATGGCGCTTAAACTTCTCACACTTTTAAAATACTTTTATGAAGGCTTAATACAAATATAAATTAATAAATTACAGCAGTCCCTTTTTAGATGACGAATCCGTTTCTAATGTTTATTTCCTTTATATTTCTGCTTGTTGTTGTATAAGCAATAATAGTTATTGAGGTCTTACCACAAATACCAGAGCTTTTTAAATGCAGTCGATTCAAATTGTTGCAGGGCGATCAAATGTAACCGAATTCCTATGGGGCGGACGACCCAAACAATTTGTTAAAGTGCTTCAATTACATTTTTTTTACCGGAATGTATTCAAATAACATTAATCTGTAGTGACATACGTGAACTATTAACAGAGCACTCTACTGTTAAGTTAACATCTGTTAAGTCAGCTGTTGCGTCGACGTTACTCCAGCTATAACCGATTTATTTGTTAAATAAACAATTGTGCAATTTTCATTTATTTGTTAAAAAAAAACAACGAAGTGATTACTACTTTCAATATTGTTACCTATAATTATTCTATTTACAGTTTGGCATTTTCCTTTAAATTAACGAAAGTTTAAATATGTTAAAAACTAAAAAAGTTGTAATTTTTTTTTATAAAACTATTCCGATCATTCCGATGGTAACTATGTGATAAAGTCTTCCAATCCGGCAGGTTCCGACTGAGAGTATATAAAAGACAAACTTCTTTACTCAGCAGAATTGTGACAAATAGATATGTTAAATTCAATAAAATTCTAATGACTTACATTGTAGGTTAATCATTTTTATAGGGTTGGTTAAAAACAACAGTGAAACAAAATAGTAAAACTTATATTTATTGTAAATCAATTTTCAATTTTTGGAAAAAAAATATTTTTTTCAGATACACTCAACGCTGCATGTAAACGTAGAAAGGGGTCAATAAAAGGCTTTCTACCAGGCGAAGAATAATGAATTATCACAAAAAAAATTAAGATTATTTGTGATTTTATTTTTGCGGAAATTCAAGCTCAAATGGTAGCAGATCTAGGCAAACTTAGCTCGTCTTCGCTTTCTGGATGAACTCGCTCACCGATCACCGTTTCCCCGTAACACTGGCTAACGCCTTTTAAAGCATCGAAGTTAGTTGTAACTGGTACAGCCTCTTACGCGATAACCCAGAGAAACCTCTGTTCCGACAGGAAATTCTCCAAATTTCCCTACAGCTAATACCCTAACTCAGAAGCCATTCCACATTTGCAATGACAGACCAGAGACAAAACCGGCAGAAAGTCCTGAACAAGGAGAAACGCACCAATGTTCGTAGCAAAGCTCTTAAAAAAGGAACATCTTCGCAAGGAAGATCTACTGTCTACTTGCAGGGTAGCCATTCCTGGGGAAGAATTTAAAATATTTCAAAAAGACTCATCAACAAATGTAATTTTAAATTTTATAGAAGCGCAAGAGTGTGGCGACTGACAGCTGTGATCTTACACAAAAGTTTTCAGAATACGTCGATCAAAATACCATGGTATCGCAGGCTCCAAAGGCCCGCTCAATAGTCACGTACTGCTGTGATATCATTTAGGATCTGCCGAGGGATCTCCGAAAAGATGCGGAAGAGCGAGTAACCCAACTGCTGTGGAACTTGAAAAAAAGCAACAAATCTTGAATAAAAACCTCACAAATTTAAATATACAGTATAAGTTGACCCGGCGAACTTTGTATCGCTCCTAATTGTCAAAATAAATTACATAGAAATTTTAATTACCAACGTTTCATTGTAATATAAAACATAAATTAGGGGCGAAACAAAGTTCGCGGGGCCACTCGCTATATTTATATTAATATTTTTCTTTTTAAAATTCGAAAGATGCTAACAGAAAGCATTTTTTGTTCTACCGATCACTGAACGTGAGCGATGGCATCCTGGGACCAGTACTGCCAATTTGGATTTTTTCCCGTCAAAACTGGCTTTTTTTTAAGGCTAACTGCGGGAAAAATTTGTGAATTGTGGGAATTGTGAAAAGCGGGAATTCTGGCTTTTTTGGAAATTGAATTGGCTTTTTCCCGATTTTTTTTTGTGTTGTTAAAACTTAAGTACAAAATATGAAAAAGTGGCAGCTAAAAAGTTAGCTTTACGAACAAACCAGATAATGTAGCGACGTATCGATTGTTTTAATAGATATACGCTAATTTCATAAGTCGCTTAGTTTTTCCATCTCTATATAAAAAGTGCTCGTAAATTGTTAGCAAGTTCTAAAATGCCGAAGGAGTATAAACAAAAATGCCGCGATGTCTGGCTTAAAAGTGATGAATTTAAGGCATGGATTCTCAGGGATGACACAGACCTGCAAAGGGTTTATTGCAACTATTGCAAGACTACTATTACAGCTAAACTCAGTGATCTGCGAGCTCACGCTGCAATAAAGAAGCATACTAGTGCAAGCAAAAGATATTCATTTCTATTTATATTCATTATATTTATTTTAATATACAGAAACGGATTGCGAAGGGTCGGGAAATGCTGCGTCGACTATGAATTGCCAATCAAATATCTGCAGATGATGATAGGAACTATTAGGTCTTACGAAAATAAGGAAGACCATGAAGAAATTGATCAAATTATGGAAATCTTTTAAACAAAAATGAACTTATTAAATTGTTATATTTTTTGACATTTTTTCTATTTTTATACATTTGTTTCAGCTTTTTTTTTGATTTTTTTATACATTTTTTAAGCTTTTTTTTCACTTCTCCCGTCAAAAACAGCTTTTTTTGTTGGTCAAAAGTTGGCAGCACTGCCTGGGACGACTTGATGGCGCCTTTCCAAGAAAATATAACAGAAAGAGAAAGCACCCAGAGCAAAAATGGTCCCGGGGAGGCTATAGTCTTTGATTTTTTTTTTGTGATAAATAATTTTAACCTTTTCCCCAACAAACACTTAATGAGATGTCAATACATCTTTCTTACATATATCTTCTAATAAGAAAAAATCGGAAACAAGAACTCGACTTTAAAGATTAATTATCTCGCGCGTGTACGCATACAATTCCCAACTGATTCTAACATCCGTGACATGGAGAGACGGCTACCTTCCATTAAAACGTGTAAGTATTTTTTACCTTCAAGGTTTTCCCTTCTACACGGGGTACTCCGGGAACTTTATGTGAATAAGTCGGAGAAAAGAATTTCTGCGTTTTGAAAACTTTCCGGTTTTTGAGTACCAAAAACTTAGTTTTTCTCGAATTAACCTAAGGGATACAAAAATCCAAGTGAAGTGTTCCCGAATAGTCATTTTGTTGATGTCATCAACCTCAACCACACCACCGGCACCAATTAGTTCCTGCTTCGGCATCACGGTTGCTCGCATTCCGATCGAAGACATAGTCTACGGAAGTGAGTCTAAATTATATTCTTAAAAAATTGCACTTTCGGTATCCGGGAAGTTTTCCACAATATTCTAGTAGCATTCATTTATTTATTTAAACAAAATAAATCTATAATACAATACTTAACATAATGAATTTTGGACCCTTTAGGCCTTCGACTCGAAACATTCAGTTTTTTACTTTACAAATTGAATGGTCCCTTAACGCATGCGCGTATTATGTGGTTATTATTAAGTGCATCCATGGGAGGTTCTCTATGAAAGGCTCATCATAATCCCCCAGAGGGAAGAAAGGCCCGGATTACAGGGACGCAACTTAAGGCACACTTATTGCCTAACACTTTATGACCCAGGGGCAAGTACATTTTGTATTTAGCCCAAGTTTTAAAAAACTGGGAATCCAAATTTTGCTTATTCTTGTAGATGGTCTTATTCATTTTATTTATCAAAGTATATTAAGCCAACAGTTTCCTGTTTTTGTTTTTATAATACGAATTTGTTTAAGTTAGTTTTAAGTGACTGCACTATGGGCCAGGAAGTTCATATTTTGGCCAAAACTCTGCAACTTCTAAAATAATTTTTTTTAGAGACGTGAAATTTTGCATGCACATTCTCAAAACATTGAATTTTATGTGTTCAAAAATTAGTAATAGAAAACATTTTTTTTTATGAAGATAATTCCTACCAAAGTTGAAAAATATTTGCTTTTTAATTGTTTTTCATAAAAAAAAAAAAAAAAAAAAAACAATTCGATTTGAATCTCACTGTACAGAAATGAGTATTTAGATAACATTTATTAGAAAAAAATATATTTGTTGCATTAAATGCAGTAGTTTTTTAGTTTTAAGCCCTTTAAGTTCAATTTTCTAATCTCAATTACATGAACGTCTTTGAAGCAATCAACCCCAATTTTGTTTTTTACTTCCAATATGGTCTCTATTACAAGAAAAACAAAAAAAAAATAGTTATTAAACCAATGATTTTTTTAAGTTTTGAGCAAAAAAAATCATTTTTATAGCTGTTTTTATGACGTGGCCCTAAGGGTATGCCACAAATTTTGTATTATGTACTTTTGCTAGTGAATGCTTCTAATATATTATTTCTTGCCTACCTTTAGGCAGTATTATAAAGACTTAAATTAATTAGCTCTGCGAATTTAATTTTTGGGATTAATATTTAAAATATACAATAAAATAAAATAATAATAATAATATATACGATAAAATAAAAGAAATAAAGTTTAATGGATATATTAAGGTATATTAGGTTTAAGTGGAGACAGAGATTATTCTTCAACTTCCGATAATTCTAAATCATATTCGGCCTCGAAATCTGTTAAATTCTCACCTTTTTCATTTATTTTATTATTTAAAGAATCTAATTTTAACAGTTCTAATGCTTCACTTGGAAGTACAATATTTTGATGGTTTTTATTTAAACTTAGAGTCGAAATAAGGGGATCTGAAGAATCAATAGACCTGTAAAAAACGTCAGAAATGCCAGCCAATCGGGAACTTTTCCGAGCGTGATTTAACCGATCGCTTTTATAGTATTTATTTTTACTTTCTGACGCTTCTTCAGCCAACATTCCAACTGGTAGTATACTTGTGCGTATAATTTCATCACCATGTATAAGAATTTTGTGTAATGTGGCTGACATGGGGTACCATGGATAGTTATCTATATACAAAATTGCAGTTTGATACGCAAAAGATCTAAGTTTAAGCCAGTTTATCGGATTATGAGAATTTATAACAATTAAAATAACTAAGATTATAAATAAGTTCGGCGTTCAACCCAGTAATTTTTGAAAAAATTTCAGAATTTTGAAAGGTTCTTCTAGGTGTATTCCCGGTATTACTATTTCCATAGCCACCTGGTTTTGGCTGGCTAGCTCTTAAAGAAAGAGTCCCCCAGAGAGCATTTTGAATTTTAGTTTTCTGGGCCTGGTATTTTGTTTTATCGTCAGGTAAGCGTATTTGATGTTTTCTTAAGGGAAGCCTGTAAGAAATATCCGAGTCCAACCTATCTGATTGGGAGTCAAGAAAATTGTTGTTTTTTCTTTGCAGTTCGGGATTTTATTAAAAACTGTGACTTAAGTTTCAAAATCCTTAATCTTAGAGATTTAAGCTCGACTCACCACTTCATCAAAAAATTTTGATGACATTAATTATTTTGCGCTTCAATATTTTTTCCATTTTGTTCTCCACATGTGCTTGCTTCAAATTTCCAAAGGTTATTGAAGATTAAATACCAATGCATTTAATTTTGCCTAAAAGCTATTTCTTGAAGTGCTCTTTTCCAAACTTCACCCCAGGGTGAAGCCACGGGGTTTCTGGGTTTGAAGGTATTTTTTTTTTATTATTTTTATTTTTTATTTATTTTTTTTTTTATTGAATTCCTAATATTTGAAAAATATTGTGTGTATCAAGTCAATTAAAGGAAAATTTACGAAGATATGAGTATTTTTACCTGCCAGATTTTCGTTTTACACTGGATTTTTTTTTAAAACTTTTAAGCGCTTTTCCCACAACTAACGTTTTCAAAGTCGGTGCCTCTCATAACTTCAAAATTCCTGCCCC